AAATAAAGTACATAGTGTTGTGCAAAAGCCATTCGGTTTTTGCACCCATTTCGTCCAAGAAGTTCCTTTTTCTCTTTTACATTTGTACTTGCCATTTTCAAAGACGGTAAACTAAAAAAAAATTGTAGATGGTATTTCTCATGTATTTTTTAGGTAAAAAATCCTAAAATTCTATTAAAAATTCTTGAATTTTTAAAAAGAATTTTCAGAGTTGCCACAAAAACATAATTTTGTTTTTCCCTGATTTCCAGACCAAATTTTGACTTTTTCCCTGTCCGTAAAGAATATTCTGATTCACTCTAAAAACGATAACATACCCAAAAAAATGTTTTATTATTATTAATTCACATAAGAATTAAGATTTTCAAATTTAAACCTTTATGAAATTCAACAACTTATAAGAATAATGAAGTTTTTTTGATATATTACTCCATGATATATTATAGAGTAATAATTGGAGGTTATTTGTTGTGGCCTTTGGTCAAGAAATGAGAAGTAATGAGAAGTAATGAGAAGTGGAAGTATTTTGGAGACAAAATTAAATTTTCTGACATAGTATAAATATTTTCTCATTTCTTGACCAAAGGCCACAACAAATAACCTCCAATTATTATAAGAATAATATAAGGTATAAACATGAGGATATCGATATCTTCATGTTTTATAATAATTTATATTTCATTAAAATTTTTCAAAAGAAATTAAATTATTTACAAAAATTTTAATAAAATCCTTTGCAAGAATTCTATTATTTTTGCAAGTAATAAAGTTTTCCACATGAATTTAATTATTTGCATAAATAATAAAATTTTTCACAAGATTTCAATTATTTTTAATAAAATTTTTAATAAATTCCTTGAAAAATGTAATTCTTTTCAAAAATTTTTCACAATAAATTAAATTCTTAACTGAAATTCAAATATTGCAAAAATCTACTACTTCAATAAAAATTTTCAAAAGAATTCAATTATTTATTTATTTAACAATTTATACTTATTTATACTAATTTATAATTATTTAAAAAATGTAATATAAAATTTCAATTAAAATAGAAGATAATATATAAGAAAAAGAAAATGATGTTTATTATATTCTGTGCAAGTACAAAAAAATATTGATTTAAATGTTCTGGTGAGTTATTTTCAAATAATTTTCGTTTATTTAGATGTATTTATAGCAAAAAAAAATATATATTTAAAATAAAAAGCAGTATTTATAATCTGTTTTTAATTATTTATACTGAGTTTTCGAAAAATGGGTTATGTTAGACTGCATAACCAGTTAGAAATTTAAAAAAATTATTTAAAAGAATGTAAAATATGTTTGGTGCTATAAAAACCACTAAAAGATCATCTAATTGTATTGGAGAATATTATATATTAATTACAGCATTTTTTAAAATCATCGAGCAACCAGCTCTAGACGATTTTCTCTGGAATGAATGACCTAAGTAATAAAATTTTTCACATGAATTCAATTATTTTCATAAATATTAAAATTTTTCATAGGATTTCAAATATTTTTAATAAAATTTTAAATAAATTCCTCAAAAAACGAAATTATTTTCAAAAGTTTTTCCAAGAATTCAATAACATTTCACAAAAAATGAAATTCTTAACTGAAATTCAAATATTTCAAAAATCTACTATTTCAATAAAATTTCTCAAAAGAATGCAATTATTTAAAAAAATGTAATATAAAATTCGTTGCAAGAATTCAATTACATATTTTCATAAATAATAAAATTCTTTACAAGATTTCAATTATTTAATAAAATTCGTTGCAAGAATTCAACTATTTTCATATAAATAATAAAATTCTTCATAGGATTTTAATTGTTTAAAAAAATATGTAATAAAAATTTGTTACAAGATTTTAATTATTCTCCTAAATAATAAAATTCTTCCCAAGATTTCAATTATTTCTAATAAAATTTTTAGTAAATTCTTCGAAAAATGTAGTTATTATTAAAAATTTTATTAAAATATTTAAAATTCTTCGAAAGAATTTTAACAAAATTTTCAATAATAATTACATTTTTCGAAGAATTCGATTAAAATTGTATTAAAAATAATTGAAGTTCTATATGATGACTTTTATTATTTATGAAAATAATTGAATCTCTGTAAAACAATTTATTATTTATGAAAATAATTGATTTATTGTGAAGAATTTTATAAAAAATTTGTGAATAACTGAATTCATGTGAAATTTTTATTATTTATGAGAATCATTAAATGTTTGCATAGAATTTTATTTAATTTTTCTTAAATAATTGACTTCTCTTGGAAAATTTTATGAAAATAGTAGTTATTAAAAATAATTGAATTGAGGAAAATTTTTAAAAATAATTGAAATTTTGCCAAGAATATTATTAAAATTTTTGATAATAATTAAATTTCGGAGAAGAATTTTATTATTTTTAAAGATAATTGGAATTTTGACGAGAATGTTTTTGAATTTTTGTAAATAATTGAATTTCTGCAAAAAATTTTATTTGGTATTTAATTATATTTTTAAATTCAAATTAATGATTTGTAACTTCAAATTTTTTTTATTTTTTTTTATAATTGAACTTCTCTTGAATTTTGTATGTATAAAGATAAAGGGAAAAGTCAAAATTCTATCTGAACCTGATTTATACCTTGTTCATTTTTATTAAAAATTGTATTGAAATTAAATAAATTAAAAGAATATCAATTATAAAAATTAAAAATAATACACTCTCAACTATATATTTATAATAAGTTGGGATTCAAATGCGCAAGTTCTTCATTAAGGAATCGTGAACGTTTAATTTTTTTGATATTATTATTATTATTAGGTATGATTATTATTATTATTATTACAGAAATATGATTACATTTGTTGATTTCTTTCCCAAGAACTGCAATTCATGCGATAAATTATGACATCGTAATTAAGTGTAGTTCCACAAGCTGCCTACAATTTATAGGTTTGGTTGTGGTACCCGGGAGGATTTATGAACAAACATAATCAAGCGGCCAGTCAAGTTTTTATCGTCGGAAAAAATGTTTAGAGTACGTTATAAAGCAGATTCTAATAACTGAGAAATCTGAAAATTCACACTATACTTGCTTGATTAAATGTCATCATCAAATAAACTAAAATAATTTACTCTCGCGAATACACAGATTATAAGTTTGTCAATAAATGATTGAGCGCGCATATCATTAATCATTTTGTAGAAAATAATCGACTTAGGTGTATCCCTCACAGCACCGGGATATTCAAGATATCCCAGAGACGTCCTGGGGATATCGATTTGTTTTCGGAAGTTTGGATATCTCTGGGATATCCTAGGGACGTCCATGGATATCCAGAGGATATTCCAGGGATATCCAAACTTCCGAAAACAAATCGATATCCCCAGGACGTCTCTGGAATATCCTGAATATCCCGATGCTGTGAGGGATATAATGTTAAATATAGAGTAGAGTGGGGTGAAAAAGATACTTTTTTTACTTTTTAGGCTACAAAATCGGAATTTTTTATTTTTTTCCAAATTTCCAACTGGGACTGAAAGTTTATAGTTATTAAACTTCAAAATCCTTGTCGGACATTTTAAAATGTTCTTAATAAAATTTTTTTATCCAATAAAAATCTATATTGATTGAGAAATTTAATTATTTGAAATAAATTTAATTACCTAATTTATAGGAAAAAAATTAAGGTAAATTTTAAAAATTCAATGTGATGCAAAAGGGAGGGAAAAAAATTTAAAAAGAATTCTAGATTTCTATGTCAAAATGAGTTGGAAAAAATTTTCAAATTTTCCGCATAAAAAGTTTTTTTTTCAACAGAAAGGTTTAAAAATATGTATGAGCGAAAAGAGGGTTTATAAAAAAGTGAAGGGGAGGGTAAATAATGTACGGGGAAGTGCATGTTGCTTCATACATTATAAGATACAGCGTAATTAGAAGAGGGAGACGTTGAAAAATTCAATATTTTCATACAGTGAACACGCGCCATATTGAAAATTAGCATTATCACCAGATGGGCTCATGTAATTGCATGCCTTCAACTAGTTTAATTACATTCCTGCACAAACGTGTGACAATAATTCATGGAAAAAAACCCACTTTATTTGCATAAACGTATTCTTACTTGAAACATACCTATACATGTAGCTATAAAAATACCTATTCTTTATTCTACGGAATTAACTCTTCAAAATATAGATTAGTAAAATTTTTACTAATGCAATCGGTAAATTCACTCTACTGATAATTATAGTCAAATTTTACTACTCTCTAAATCTGAATTAGTATAGTTAAAAGTGCGGATTCGTTTACCAATTAAATAAGTAAGTTTTGACTAATTTTTAGTTGTAAACTAATATTTAGTAGTAAACTACTAATTTTTGTGAATAAAACTACTAATTTTTAGTAGTAACCTTACTAATTCATGTAGTAAGTCGGTTTACTAATTTGAAATACACTGGAATCTAGATCGGTGAGCTCGGGATCGTTGAGACTCTGTTTACATAGTTTGTAGGCGAGGAAAGGTGGAGGGCTAGCGGGGACTTTCAAATGTCGATAAATGCCGTGCCTAATTGTAGAAGAAAAAGGTTCTCAGTGCCCGATGCTATTTATTTTATTTGATAACTTCATCATTATTTACTTTTTTTTCTTTTTAATATAAATACATTTTATTTTTGTATAATGTTTTATAATATTTTGTGATTTATATTAATTTTCTAACATGAATTATTTTTTAAAAGAATGGTGCAAACAAAAAATACTTCGTACGGCCCTGTTTGTGTTGCTTCTCAGTCTCAACTAATCCGCTAGATCGGTGAGAAGCCATCCCCGATTAGTCTCACCGATCTAGATTCCAGTGTATAGTAAAACATACGACTTACAAATGATAGAAAAATTAGTCAAAACTGTTAGAGGGCAGAGAATTTTAGCGTTGGGTCACAATGTAAAAATTAAAAAGAATATATTATAGAATTTAAAATTTTGTGACACACTCACTTATATATACATCTTATTCTTGATTATTTGATGAGATTTTTGACACGATCAAAAAATCCAACCATGAAAAGTGTAGTGATAGTTGACTGACGCCGCCGACTGGCGCTGCTGTCGCCCGAGACTTCTAGGTTCAAGTTTTTTTGGCGGGAAATTCAAAATATAAGCAAGTTTATTAATATGTTTTAGCCTCGTTCAACAACCAGAGCCACCTGCTGCAATAAATAAATAATAAAATATTTAATTAACTAACAATAATAAAATAAAGCAAAAGTATGTAGTTGATGGTATTAGCTATATGCACGGAGAAAAATTTTCAGTTAAAATTACTATTAAAAATAGAAGCTGAAACTATTTCACATAGTATTTTCGTGACACATCGAGTTAATCGTAAAGTGTAATATTTTATTAAGTATTTTGTACTATGGTATCAAAGTATTTGATATTATTAATTATATTAGTTCCAACTATGTAAACATTTTTTGGAACTTGGTTTCATAGTAAAGGTAACTTTTCCGCCTAGAAAGTATAACAATTTCAAATACTTGAACCTACTATGAGGGAAAGGCTAGCGCGCTATGCATCATGGTAAACTTCACTATGAGAGAAAGACTAGCGCGCTATGCCTCATGGTAATCTCCACTACTTTAAATGAATGACTGCGCGATGAACCACATGGTAAACTTTACTATTTTAATAGTGCACGACGCTGGAACTAAATGATTTTGAACATAATGTAAAATTGTCTTGAAATTATGTAACGTGGTAAATACCACTACATATAATAATTATAAATGTAATGCAGAAATATTTAGAAAGGTTACTCCCTAAATCTGAATCAGTGAAATTCCACTGAAAATCAGTAACTCTATTCTCGCAATTTGAATCAGTGGAATTTCACTGAAAATCAGTTAAAAATAACTGAAACTTCAGTCATTTTCTACTGATTCGACAATTAAAAAACTACTGAAAATTTATGTCACACATATTGAAAATTTCAGTTATTTCTTAATTGTCCAATCAGTGAAACATTACTGAAATTTAAATTATTTTTAACTGATCTTCAGTGAAATTTCACTGATTCAAATCGCGAGAATAGAGGCACTGATTCTCAGTCTTTCACTGATTCAGTTTCAGAGAGTATGTTTAATAGCTGTCAGAATGATGATTCACGGAAATTTTAAGTATTTTAAATAAGGATTGGAATTTTGTGGAATAATTGAAATTGCTAGAAAAAAAAGTTTTAATAAATTAAAAGTACAATTTTTCATTTAAATCATCAATAATAATTTTTATTAATCTAAAATAAATATATACATAGCAAAAGTTTAAAATAATAAATACACTTAATTATAATGGTTTCAATTCGTAGGCTTGCGCTTATAATTACACAATTTCAAATTGCTCATTTTTTTTACAAAAAACCTGACGTCATCTTAAAAATTAAATCCACTTTTTAGCAATGTATTCAATGTTTTTAAATGACTAACTGTACCAATTCTAAACTTTTTCCAAACTAAACTGCTGCACCTTGGTTAGTTTTTCGCTTTTCGTTTGTTGATCCGTACTTCATCTGTGTTGGTGTGATCATGGTAGACAAAAGGTGTAAAACCACTGCATCTTGAGCGCCTGTAAAATTAATTAAAGTCAGCATTTATTAAATTTGTGTTACTTTAATTAATTAAATATTAACTAATTTAATAGTACGATAATTTTTAAATATATTTACCTTAAATTCGATAGCGCCTTTAGTGTTTTAGGACATTTTTGGCGGCATGACGCCAACACTCAACTATGTTCATGTATTAATCAAAAAGTACTAAAGGACAGAGATATGTCCATCCTTTTCTCCCTAACAGAATTTTTTAGTTAGTCCACTTGTAGTGACAATTTTTGTTTTTAAACATTTTTTTAATAACAATAAGTATAAAAAAATCATAAAATCGTAAACAATATTTTTTTTCAGCTTCATTCATTAAGAAAATCAATCAAAAAACAAATTAAAATGATGTTTGGGATTGTTTGTTATATGAAAAAAAGTACGACAATTTATTAAATTGTTTAAACAATTTATTTTTATTTTATTTATAAACTGCACTTAGGGCTATAAATTTCTAGTTTTTTCTCAATTGTTGAATTTTTCATGAGTAAAACATCCACTGATTATTAAAAATTGGAAATTAATTATTTAAACATTGTTTAAACAATTTATTGTTGTCACTTTTTCATAAGCGGCACTTAAGGCTAGAAATTTCCAGTATTTCACAATCGTGCAATTTTTCATGAGTAAAACATCTACTTATATTCAAAAATAAATTCTTTAATAATAATTGTTTAAACAAATTATTTGTATTTTTTTTTTCATAAATTGCACTTATGGCTAGAAATTTTTAGTTTTTTCTCAACTATTCAATTTTTCATGAGTAAAAAATCTACTCATGACTAAAAATTATTTAATCATTGTTTAAACAATTTATTGTTGTTATTTTTTACATAAACTGCATTTGGGCTTTGACTTTTCTAGTATTTTCTCAATTGTGCAATTTTTCAAGAGTAAAAAATCTAATGATTATAAAAAAGTGGAAATTAATTATTTAAACATTTTTTAAACAATTTATTTTTATTTTTTTCATAAGCGGCACTTAGGGTTAGAAATTTCTAGTTTCTTCTGAATTGGACAATTTTTTTGTAACTAAGATATTTATGTACCTATAAAAATAAACTAAAAATTAATTATTTAAACTTTCTTTGAACAATTTGTTTTGTTAATTTTTTTTCTTTATTTATAATTTTGTTCTTCTATAAACAGATCCATAGAACGATTGAAAATTTCAATTTGAAAAATTGATTCATACACAAATTAATTAATTTCAAATTGTAAATTTGTCATCAATCAGTGAAAATAAAAAAGTATCAACGCATATGCGCTGTTGATACTTTTTCATTTTCAAATGGCGGCAAATTTAACAATTATTAATTAGAGTGGTAATATTAATAGTAAAATGAGATAAAAATTCAAAATTATTAAAAATTCTTAAATGTGTTAGTTTTTCAATTTGTAAACATTCGATAATTTGATAAATTTTATGTATCCAACAAAACACAAAATCCTCTGTGAGAAAAATTTTCGAGTCCTTAGAAATTTACCAGAGCAACCAATAAATGTCTTATTGTGAAATGTACGCTCGACTTGCTGTATAACATAGAAGAAATGAAAGGCTTGACAACCAAAAGCAAGGATCGAACAATAAAATATAATATTATTATTCCAACTGGTCGATTTGCAGTCTTCTAGTTGAATGGTGGAAAAAGTGCAGAGCACTTTTTCGCACTAGAATTGGAAGAAAATCCTTTTTTTCGTATATATAGATATACTATGTCCGGTTGGTCAGTGAAGAATGAGAACATAAGCAACGAAAGGTAATTACGATAAATATTTGCCCAGCCGTCCAACCCTTCTTCGACGTTCCAGCCACGCGAGCTAATAAGCCGAACGGTATAATGTATAAGGTTATTAAGAGTAGTCTCAATAATAATCTATACCAGCACGAGATGGAAACTTGGGACTTGCAAATCCGATTGCTCGTGCAAACAACCGCTAATCGGTTCTAATGGCTCAGGCGGCGTTCATTGTCCAAGTTAAATCCTATAAATATTTTTCCTAATATTTTCGAAAACAAAATTTCCAAAACGCTGCACGATTTCGGTCGGTTATACTTTTTTTTCATTCTTTCTTTCTTTCAAAGGACAACAACACAACGATCGACATTTTTCAAAAATCCTTTTCTTATATTTTGTCGCTTTGTTGTTGTCCCCCCGCGAGCGCCAAAGACTCGATATCCGAATTAGGCGCAGTCGAATGGATTACGGAGTTTGGCTTAAAGTTTTTAAATTTTGACCAACCAGTTTTCTGGCAGGTGACCTAAAATTGTATTTTGGTTAAAGAAAAACGTTTTACAATTATCTGATGTATAAATGTCAAAGAATGCAACTTAAATTCTTTTCAATATTCGGGAAACTTTTTTTTTCATCTCCTTAATGTCATTTTGTTGCTTTTCTATTTCTGAAAAATTGTTTTTTCGCAAAATATTCATAACTGCGCTGAAATATATTTACGATTTGAAAGAATATTATTTACATTATTTAGCATTTAAAACTATTAATACTTATAAAAATCGAATATAAAAAAGCAGTAGGTACTGAATGTACTAAACTATACATTAATTTCTATATAGTTCGAGACTGTTTACGAAACTATTTTAGATTGATTCCTATAAAGTTCGGGACTGATTACTAAACTATTTTAGATTGAATGTTATTTTGTGGGAATGATTACTTAGAGGTCGTTCTTATACCACGTGGACATTTTTTGGAGGAAGGGGGGTTCATAAAAAAATTAAAGTTGGGGGAGAGAGGGATCAAATCAAATGTCCATGTGGACCCAGTAAAAATCTCTTATATTTTCTTTATCCCACTTTCAAATTTTGCATCACAATTTTATTTCATTTTAAAAAGACATGTTATCAAAAAAATTATTTTTAATAGTACCACTCTCTAAAGAATTAGTATAAAAATCTTTACTAATTTTAATTAGTGACCGATTTTTTTCTTTTGAATTAGTAAATTTTACTAATAAATAGTAATTTCTACTAATTTATTTAACTGTTATAAACAATATTAGTTAACAAATAATTAATTTTTGCTCCTCTACACCAAAAAATTTTTTTACAGTTATATACTTTCTAATTTAGCTTTATTTAAAGAATATATATATTTAAACAATAATAAATATATAAAATAATTTGTTAATTAAAAATGCCACTTTTATCGACTTATTTTTAAAAATTTCGACCTTTTCGACTTTCATTCCAAACATTTCAACAAAATACCATATTTTTGTATAAAATACGCAACTTATTTAGATTTTTATAGTTTTAAAAATAACTATAGACAAATCTTTCAAAATTATATTTTTGAATAATTTTTTAAGATATTAAAATTTTTAAAATAAACATGTAATTAAAAAGTTTTAGAATAATTGAAATTTTGTTATTTTTAATTGAAAATAATTTTCTTCTTTTAAACATTTTATTACAATTTTTGAAAATCAAATTTTGAAGAATTTTAATTGCAAATTTTGAAAATAATTGACTCGATTCTAATTTTTAAAAATCCAATTATTTTCAATTATACATATACTCCTAAAAATTCAAAT